GGGGGCCGTCCCCCCCCGCCCCCCCCCCCCCTCCCCTGGCACATGGGAGAAGCTAGTCACTTACCTTGCTGTGCTAGTCACTTTCATCGTGTGGCAATCCTGCCCTTTGCACAGAGCGGCAAACCCCGCCGAGAAAAGTTTAACTCTACACCTCGTTAATAACGAAGCAGGAGACTCTTGAGTTTGCAGCTTTGTCAAACCTTTCTCCTTTATATTTTTAAGTCCTAGAACTTTATTTTTTTAGTGGAGAAGCTAGTCACTTACCTTGCTGTGCTAGTCACTTTCATCGTGTGGCAATCCTGCCCTTTGCACAGAGCGGCAAACCCCGCCGAGAAAAGTTTAACTCTACACCTCGTTAATAACGAAGCAGGAGACTCTTGAGTTTGCAGCTTTGTCAAACCTTTCTCCTTTATATTTTTAAGTCCTAGAACTTTATTTTTTTAGTGGCCCATTAGAGAGACAAGGTGAACTGGCCTGTGAATAAATTGGCCAATGAATAAATTTAATTTATTGAGCATAGGGGAAAAAGGACCTGGGGAAATGCCTTGAAAATGTGGTCTGATTTTTTTTCATCTCTTTCTTGTTGGAAAAAAGGATATAAAATGTTCTGGTATACATGCGTCTAGGAGGCTAGATGACTTGGATTGGTGATGTAATTAGTCTTTCATTTATTGGGCTGTAGCTACAAGGCCTCAGAACAAAGTTAAGATGCTGTATTTAAATGCAGTTCCAGTTAAACTTGTTTCTACATAACCTGGTCTGTGAGGTGGAACCAAACTAAGGTGTTTAAAAAAGTGTTTCCGCTAACATCCTGAAATGATTATTTGCTGGGCTGACTTAATATTCTGTATCAAACCAAATCTAATAACTTGCTTTCTGGTATGTATGCATATGAGTTTTTATGTAAACAGATAAAGTAATTCATCTATGTATTTTATCTAGGACAGGAGAGAAAATATATTAGAAATTACAATTTTATCCCTTTGTAATTTGACATTTCTGTTGCTGCTAGATTAGAAAATTTAAAAAACAGTAACACTAATTTCAACTAACATTCAACTTGGTGTATCCATTTTTAAAATTTATGTTTTACTTGCTTCATTAAGGGAAGTTGATGTGTTGTGTTCTACTTATTTCTAGTAAGTGTTTCAGTCATTTGGATGTAATTTCTCTTTCAGTTGCATAATGGCAGAAACTATGGCCTCCCCCCTGAAACACTTTGTGCTGGCTAAAAAGACAATTACTGCTATATTTAACCAACTGCTGGACTATGTCACTGAAGGAGCAAGTTTTGTTGAAGGTTAGTTTTCACTTTTGGGGCAGGGACCTTGCATCTTTGTGTGTAAAAATTAGCATAACAGGTTTCTGGTCCTTATGGGGTCTCTGGGTACAATGATAACATATGCATTCTTCAATAACAGAGTCTTGGGGTATATACAGATATTTTAAGGGGTGGTAGTATGGTGCAGTGAGTTGGGAAATCTAGAGTTTATTCTCTTCTTAGCTTGATTTAATGTATAACCTTAGGAAAGTCACTTAAACCTACACTTTCAAACTTGGATACCTAAAGACAGGCACTTTAATAAAAGTGGATTTTCAGAAGTGCTAAGCAGCTGCAGCTTTGATTTAATTAAACTACTTGTGCTAGGCAACATTGAGAGTATGTCATAACTGCAGAGTTAATGTGTGTTCTTACTCAAGTGTTGCCTCTAACCATCTGCCACTCCCCACACACAAGCTTCTGAGCAGAGTTATGTGATGCCTTCAGTTCAAGTTCAATGGCTCTTCTGGGACCTTAGGCGAAAGCCAGAGTCTTTCACCGGGGTTGGTATCCAGTGAGTGGCCAGTGAGGATACAGTGTAAACTACTTGAATGCTGATAGACTTCCGGTGTTCTAACAGTTTATTCCTTGTGACCAGAAAAAGAAACCACTTCTCCAACAATTCACTAGGAAAGAATCATTTGACAACTCAACCTGCTACAGCACAAAGAACTATTGCAGTGGCTCCCAACCTTTTTGAGCATATGGACCTCTTTTCAGTCTATTAAAATGTCATTGACTCCCCTCCCTGGGGGAGAAAAAAGAAAATAAAAAGTATCCTTCTTTTTAAACTTTCCATGGACCCTTTGCAGTACTGTTGCGGACCACAGGTTGGGAACCACTGAACCATTGGATATACCTTCCTAAAACTACTAGCAACACATAAGCATGCATGTAACACCAGTGTGGGCATAGTAACTCAAATGCGGCTATGGGAGTTTGGAATGGCTGCCATAAGAGGAGAGATTAATAAAACTGGGACTTTTCAGCTTAGAAAAGAGGAAACTGGGGAGAAGATCATGGAAGTCTATAAAATCATGACCAGTGTAAGGAAATTAAATAGGGAAACATTATTTACCTGCTCCCATAACACAAGAACTAGGGTTTACCAAATAAAATTAATAGGTAGCAGATCTAAAGCAAACAAATAGAATTATTTCTTCATGCAGTATATACAGTCAACCCATGGAACTCCTTGCCAGAGAATGTTGTGAAGACTAGGATTTTAACAGGGTTCAGACAAGAACTAGATACTTTTATGGAGGATAGTGACTATTAGCCAAGATGAGTAGGAATTAGGGATGAAACTTATGATTAATGTTAACCAGTGGAGGCTGGAGCAGCTCCCTGCCTGCCACAAGTAGGGGGCTGCTTCAGCCCTGCGGGGGGGCCTGCTGCTGACAGGGGCTCCTCCGGCATGGCTGGAGCAGCCTCTGTCCAAAGCAGGCCCAAGCGCCCTGCAGGCAACAGCTGTTCCAACCAGGTTGCCAGAACAGCTCCTGCTTGCAGGGTGCCTGGCCTGCTGAAGACAGGGACTGACACAGCCTGGCCAGTGCAGCCTATGTCTATGGCAGAGCAGCCCTCCTGTTTATCCTCCCTTAATCGTTTAACTGGTTAAACAGTATGTTTAATGGGTTAGCCAATTAAACAGGATTTTACATCCCTAGTAGGAATGGTGTCCCTAGCTTCTGTGTGTCAGAATCTAGGAATGGGTGACAGGAAAGGGATCACTTGATGATTATCTGTTCTGTTCATTACCTCTGGGGCGCATGGCATTGGCCACTGTCAGAAGACAGGATACTGAGTTTAATGGACCTAGTATGGCTGTTCTTAAGTTCTTATGTACTCATAACTGGGCTAAACTATTCTGGGTGCTAAGCCACCCAAGTTAACTCTAGATTTTAGATCAGGTCTTCACTGCATAGGAATCGTGATGATATTGATTATTCTTCTTCCCCTGCTCTTCCCTTCCCCCTCCCCTTGCCCCTATGAAGGAGAGGGAATCACAAAGAATGGTCAAAAAAGCAGAAAAGTGATATTAGTGACTTAGCAAACTTAGTTCAATGTGCTGCTGTGGCTTATTCCGGTTCCTAAATTCTTATGTTTTAGTTGGGAGAGTAGATTTAAAATGCTACTATCAGAGATTTTGTACACAGCTCTTTGTTTGTATTAAATAACTTAGTGTTGATGCTTTGGAACATAAGTTGGTCCCATTATTCCTTGTATAATTATCTTTTCTTATATATAGCAACATACAGGAACCCAGAACTTGAAAATGTAGCAACTGAAGAAGAACTACTGAAAATACAAGCATATAAAAACAAATTGGCTGTCATCGGTGAGGTGCTTTCTCGGAGACACATGAAAGTTGCATTTTTTGGCAGGTAATAAATTTTATTACCTAACTAAATTGGATTTTCTCTTTCAAGGTTTAATGTTTATCTCTTTAATTTTATATGTGCTTGGATTTTCCATAATGCCTTGTAATGATTTGTTACCAATATCGATATGGATGCGATACACATTTTATATCTAGAACCCTACAAACTGGTGGATATCAGTTTTATATCCACGGGTATCTGCAGATCATTTTTGCAGATTGGTATACAGATACCAGTTTTGTATCCAGGCAGGGCGCTCTTGATAGGTCATCTGATGAGTTCCCTACCCTGAGGCAGGACTTAAGTATAATATAGATCATCCCTATCAGCTGTTTCTGTAACCTTTTCTTAAAAATCTCACGTGACAAATTCTACAACCTCCCTAAATAATTTTGTTCCAGCGCTTAGCTATCTTTACAGTTAGGAATTTTTTTCCTGGTGTTTAAGCTAAATCTCCTTTACTTCTCATCTTACCCTTATTGGTTAAGGAGAACAATTTATCACTCAACTCTTTAACAGTCTTTTAAATATTTTAAGACTGTTATGTCTCCCTCTTCTCTCTTCTTCTCCAGGGTTCTTCTTGCCCTCCCCCCCAATCTTTCCTTCTAAATCATGTTTTCTATAGTTCTAATCACTTCTGTTTCTCTTCTCTGGACTTACTCTAATTTGTTCACTAGGGTTGTTAGCTATTGTGTAATTTAATAGTCATGTAGCTGTGTGAAATCTTAGTGGTTACATGACTACTCAAAAGTCCCTAAGGTTGGGGCTGGGAACCAGGGTGCTCCCAGCCCCTCTCCCAGGGAGCCCTCTGCTACCCTGCAATGCTGCCTCTCTATTAGAAGCAGCAGCGCAGGGTGACAGGCAGAGTCAGTCTGTGAGGGGAGCCAATATAAAAATCAGCTCCTCTCACGGACCAGCTGCCTGCCACCTTATGGTGCTACCTCTGATATAGAGGCAGCAGTGCAGGATGGCAGCAGCTCCTGTCGTTGGGGAGGTGTCCAAGCTCCCAATGGACAGAGGTTGCTCCAAATCGCTGACTGAGATGACTGTCAAATTTAGTTCTTCATTGGACACTTCATGTGGACGAATCATAAACAAACAGAGCACCGTGTTTGCAAAAGTCAACAAAACGATACTTGAATGCTATCACGAGCTCAGACAAACCTGGCAAGCTGCTGCAAATAGAGGCTGTTACTTGGATTCTCTCTCTGATACGAATCACAAAATATTTGTAATCTTTCAAAATGTGCCAGTCTTCCCGTCTCAATATCTTTGATGAAGACAGTCAATTTTGACTCAAATCCAAACACTGCCTGCTGCAGAGTCAGGACTATATTTCCTTGCCCGTGTTGCTTAAGGTTCAAATGACTAGTAATGTCGACAAGAGCGTAAAACTGGAGCAACCAGTCACGGTCTGAAAGTTTGATGTGTTTGCCACCCTTCATATCCAAAAAAGGCTTAATGCAGACACAACTTTTGCCACAAGATACCCAGCGAAGATTGTACATTAGTAGATCAGGGAATTTGGAATCAGCTGAAATGGATGGTGATTAAAGGCTTGGGCAGGAACCCAATTGACAATGCAAACAACCAGTCCATTATATTTCTGAATTCATTTCCACAAGATTGCACACAAAGTGCTTCCTGATGTACGATGCAATGAAAGTTCAAAAGCGGGCTATTCAGCTGTTGTGACGAGAGTAAGGAATTCCATGTATTCTAGGTGCACAGTCCGTACCCACACATTCCATGCCCATTCTAGGTGCACAGTCTGTACACACAGATAAGAGAAATATTGTTGAATAATCTTCTGTTTACAAAGTACATCAGTTTTAAGGATGTCTTTGTCCCTTGTTTGATTTTTTCATTGGCAATATATCAATCGTTTCTTTGTGAAAAGCATTTCCACAGATATATTGTCCAGAATACAGAACTGATTAATGTCACACGTCAGTTGTCTTGTCCAAGCAAACAAAAAATAAGTAGCTGTACTCAATTTTTCCTTGTCAATTTGATGGGCCATTTTCATAGTTCTGTCATGAATTGTTTTTGCCAATAATGGCATGTCTTGAATTTTCTGTAAGATTTTATCCTTGTTGTGAAACTCGTCAAATAGTTCATGACCAATTTTTAGCATGCATCTCTTCATGTAATCACCATCAGTGAAAGGCTTCCCTTCTCGCATAATGCTGTATGAGCCAGCAAAACGTGGAGTTTAAGCTCCCACTTTATTTTAGTCTCCCATGTGCCAGACTATTTTGTGCAATGTTCATTTTTTGCGGCAGCTCCTCGTAGGCTGCTTTTGGTGCATCACCCTCAGGGTATTTTGTAGCAAATGTATGTTTTGTCATAACATTTGTAGGGTTGTTTTTGTTTTTTGTTCGCGAACAGTGTCTGTCTCATTTGTAGTGAATGTGAACATCCAGCCCTGTCCACAAATGCATACAAGTTTGTCCACTCCTTTTGAAAATTTCAGTACTCGTTATTTCTCTTTCTCTTCGCCATTTTTACTGTTTGGGGGGTTACAGAGATCACTATCACACATGGTGATGGAAAGATTTCTTGACCAATCAAAGAGAATGTATGACCCTCATGAGCGAGGAGGATGGATGGTTGTTAAAATGAACAGTTAAAGGTGAAATAAATGAAAAAACCCATCTTGACATGAGTAATTACGTGTTTTTAAAATTTTGAATTAATTTTTCATTTCAATTTAAAAAGCTGTGTGTATTTTGAGAATGACGAGCCATGTTTGGTTCAGTACTGAGCCATATTTGGCTCTAGAGCCATAGTTTAAAGCAATTTGGAAATGAAAATAGCAAATTTCAAGGAGTTAGATATTGGGGTGGAAAAATCCATCAATCTGAATTTTGATTTAGAATGCCTTGCTCAAAAAATGCAGAATTGACAGAATTGCACAAAGGGCTGACACAAAATTGGAGCATGATGATCTGATTTTGCAATCTTGGAAAGAACTTCGTGTCACATACAACACCATGCAGAATATCAGTTTGGCTTTACTTTCAATGTTTGGCTGCACTTACATGTGTGAGCAGGCTTTCTCTCATTTGAATCACATCAAAGATAATTTGTGCTCAAGATTGACAGACCGTCTGAATGCATGCATGAAACTGAATTTGACCAGTTATAATGTAAACTTCAAAGAAATGTGCAAAAAGATGCAGCAGTAGAAGTCCCATTAAATAGTCCTTTTTATAATGTTTCATTTATGCTATTTTTAATCAATGTCAATGATTAATGCAGTAAAACTCCAATTGTCCGGCATCCAGTGGTCCAGCACTCCCGATAGTCCGGCACCAACTGGAACCCGGAAGTGCTTTGGCCAGCTGGACAATTGGAGCTGCTGAGAGCCCCATGGGCGCTCGCGGCTGATAAAGGGAAGGGAAGGGGAGAAGAGGGGAAGGGGATTATACCCCTGTGACGGGGTCTGCCGGGATCTGCACTGCGTCCGGCTGGGGGTAGGGGGTGGGCAGGGAACGGCGCGGTGAGGGGCAAACCCTCCGCTGTTTTGCAGGAAGGCGGGGGAAGCTCTGCACCGCCGCCGAGAGTTTCCAGGAGGGGAGCGAGCTCCCCACCCCCCAGACTGCAGTAGTTATCACCGTGCCGGGGGGGTGAGGGATGGTGCTGCGGGACCAACCCGGCAGCACCCAGCTGCCCTGCTCCGCCGCTTCCCCAACTCCGTCACTGCTGAAACTGACAAGTGGTGGAGCAGAGCAGCTGGGGTGCTGCCGGGTTGTTAACATCCCCAGTCCACACCAACTCTTTTGTTAGTTACTTACGTTGCTCAGAGAGCTGTTTTTTCATGCTCCCGAGTGACACAAGTTATACCAACAAAAGTGCTAATGTCCTAGCTTAAACAATTCTTAATCTGTTCCCTCTTACGGTGTCAGATTCTGTCCCGTTTACATTAAACATTATTATGTTAGTTGTTAGAGCAGTGGGCACTAATCTTTTTGCTGAAATCTAAGCAAAAAGGCATTTAACATAGGCATTAATATAGTATAAAGACCCATTCACACTTGTCTATTCACTGTTGAATCTTCCTTTTGAAGCCATCCTGTTCCGTGACTGCAGCTTAATTACGTATGTGTCATCACATGCTTTCCATTGGCAAAATTCAATGGAATGATTAATTATTTCTACAAAACTTTCCATAGTGTGATTCTGCTGCGTAGAACCATTGTTAACTGAAGAGTATTTTGAGATTGCCAGAATCCTCATCCCATAGTTTTGCTTTAACTTTGTGATGGTCTTTTGTTTAATTTCCTCACACTTTTAGGGACTTTGGTTTGTGTTGAATGTCGATGACCCAGAAAAAGAAAGAAATGTTTGATTGCTTGTTTTTCCGTACATAAGCAAGAGAGGAAAAAAAGAGCAGAAAACTGGGTTACAACTTCAGATTTTGGTGATATTTTTCAAGCTAGAGGGCAGACTAGCTAGTGTGAAGTTAGTCATGATTACTTTTTATGACCTCAACTATGCTGTGTGATTCACAGACAAGTACAAATATTGGAAGATGTTTAGGATCATGTGAAATTCATAGTTAAGTCCTACTTAATCTGGAAAAGTTCTAATTACAAGTAAGAATGGCAATAATGGGTCAGACCAAAGGTGCATCTATCCCAGTTTCCTGTTTTCTGATTACAATTCATTTACGAACACAGATGAACTTTGAACTCCATGGTATGCAAGACACTAAGGCACTAACCCACATGTGCCAGCTCCTGCAGAGGTGCCTGCTCCACATAAGAACGACCATACTGCGCCAAACTAAAAGTCCATCTAGCCCAGCATCCTGTATTCCGACAGTGGCCAATGCTAGGTGCCTCCAGAGAACAGAACAGGGAATCATCACGTGATCCCACCGATTGTCCATTTCCAGCTTCTGACAACCAGAAGCTAGGGACACCCTTCCTACTCATCGTGGCTAATAGCCATTGATGGATCTAACCTTCGTGAATTTATATAGCTGGTTTTTGAACCTTCTTAAAGTCCTAATCTTTACAACCTCTTGTGGCAAAGAGTTCCACAGATTGACTGTGTGCTTCATGGGGAAAAAAAGTCCTTTTGTTTGTGTTAAACCTACTGCCCATTCATTTCATTTGGTGACCCCTAGTTCTTACATTATAGGAACAAGTAAATAACTTTTCCTTATTCACTTTTTCCACACCTCTATCCTGTCCCCCCTCCGTCTCCTCTTTTCTAAGCTGAAAAGTCCCAGTCTTTTAAATATCTCTTCATACGGGATTTGTTCCAAACCCCTAATCATTTTTGTTGCCCTTTTCTGAATCTTTTCCAGTGCCAATATATCTTTTTTGGGATGAGGCGACCATGTCTGTATGCAGTATTCAAGATGTGGGTGTACCATGCTTTTATATAGAGGCAATAAGATATTCTCGGTCTTATTTTCTATCCCTTTTTTAATGACTCCTAACATTCTATTTGCTTTTTTGACTGCTGCTGCACACTGAGGGTGCGTCTACACCGCAGGGCTTAATTCGAAATAATAATTGCATATCTTATTTCAAAATAGCTGATTTCAAAATAGGGAGTGTCTACGCTATACTTGTTTCAAAATAGAGCACTCTTCCTCTGACTTCTCTTATTCCTCATACAATGAGGGTTACAGGAGTCAGAGTAAGAAGTCCTCCAGCTTGACAGTATTTTGTCACTATTTCGAAATAACTGCCTGCTCTGTTTATACGGACTAAGTTATTTTGGAATAGTGCTCGTTATTTTGAAATAGTGTTGCAATGTAGACGTACCTTGAGTGGATGTTTTCAGAGAACTATCCATAATGACTCCAAGATCTCTCTTGAGTAGTTGTAGCTAAATTAAACCCCATCATATATTATGTATAGTTGGGATTATTTTCTCCAGTATGTTTTACATTTATCAACATTAAATTTCATTTGCCATTTTGTTGCCCAATCACTTAGTTTGGTGAGATATTTTTGAAGCTATTCACAGTCTGCTTTGGTCTTAACTATCTTGAGCAGTTTAGTATCATCTGCAAATTTTGCCACCTCACTGTTTACCCCTTTCTCTAGATCATTTATAAATACGTTGAATAGGATTGGTCCTAGTACGGACCCTGGGGTGGGGAACCCCATTAGTTACCGTTCTGCACTCTGAAAACGTATTTATTCCTACCCTTTGTTTCCTGTCTTTTAACCAGTTATCAATCCATGAAAGGACCTTCCCTCTTATCCCATGACAACTTACTTTACTTAAGAGCCTTTGGTGAGGGACCTTGTCAAAGGCTTTCTGGAAATCTTAAGTATACTATATCTACTGGATCCTCCTCCTCCACATGTTTGTTGACATCCTCAAAGAACTCTAGTAAGGCATGATTTCCCTTTACAGAAACTATGTTGACTTTCCCTCAACAAATTATGTTCATCTATGTATCTGAGAATTTTATTCTTTACTATAGTTTCAATTAATTTGCGAAGTACTGACATTAGACTTACTGGTCTGTAATTGCCAGGATCACCTCTAGAGCCCTTTTTAAATATTGGCATCACATTCGTTGTCTTCCAGTCATTAGGTAACAGAGTCTAATTTAAAGGATAGGTTACAAACCACAGTTAATAGTTGCACAATTTTACATTTGAGTTTTCATGACTCTTGGGTGACTGCCATCTGGTCCTGGTGACTTGTTACTGTTAAGTTAACAGTTTGTTCCAAAACCACCTCTAAGGATGCCTCAATCTGGGACAATTCCTCAAGTTTGTCACCTAAAATTTGTCACCTGATTTGTCATCTAAGGTCAGATTTGTGGCCTATTCTCCGTGAACTTATTTAGCTCTTTTTTTGAATGCTGTTATAGTCTTGAACTTCCCAATGTCCTCTGGCAAGGAGTTCCACAAGTTGACTGTGCGTAGCGTGAGAGAGTACTTCCTTTTGTATGTTTTAAATCTGCTATGGTTACGTATTAATTTCATTTGGTGACCCGTTATTGTGCTATGGGAAGGACTAAATAACTTCCTTGTTCACTTTTCCCATACCTTCATGATGATATAGACCTTTATCATATCCACCTTAATTGTGTCTTTTCCAAGCTGAGAAGGCCCAGTTTTATAATTCTCTCCTCAAATAGCAACCATTTCATTCCACTAATCATTTTTGTTGCGCTCTTCTGAATTTTTTTCTAGTGCCAAGATCAGTATTTAAGATGTTGGTGTTCCATGGTTTTATATAGAGGCAATAAGATGTTCTCTGTCTTAGTCTCTATCCCTTTTTCAATGACTCCTAACATTAATTGCTTTTTTGACTGTCGCAGCACACTGAGTGGATGTTTTCAGAGAACTATCCGCAGTGACTCTCAGATCACTGATAGGGATGTCAACGAGTAGTGGACTAGTTAATTAACCGATAAGCCTAGGCTTATCAGTTAATCTTGTCAACTACTCGCATTTCCCCTTCCCCCTTGCTGAAGAGGGGGCAGGGAAGCAGTTTTTTTGTTTGTATTGGTGGTGCACATCCACACACTACCTCAGTATTGGTGTTGCACATAAGAAATTTCAACCCACCCAAAAGCAAATTCAACCCACACAAGGATAGAAAATTATGTAAGGAACACTGGCTGCCACCCCTACCTCCAGCCAGGGAAAAAGTAAGGGAGTAAGAGTGAGCGACAGAGGGAGGGGGCATGGAGCAAGTAATGGACAGGAGCAGAGGTCTTCAGTTTTGTGCAATTAAAAAGTTGGCCACTCTAGACAGGTCTACACTTTAAAAAAAAAAAAGAGTTTCTCAGTATAGTTTTATTTATTGGCAATCCCTTCTAGTGTAGATATAGTTTATACCCATAAAAAAGACCTTTTGATGGTATAGCATATACTGGCTTGGCACACAAAATAAGCTCCATTTTTAAAAGCATGTTTATTTTGATATAACTGTATCTACAATGGGACTTTTGTCAGGGGGGAAAATAAGTGTGTGGAGCCTTCCTGGCCATCCCTGAGCTTATGGGCCTTAAACCCAGGCCTCCAGCGTGCCACTGACAGGACTTTTAACAGCCCTGTCGGTGGTGCCAACTGGAGCCGCCAGGGTCCCTTTTCAACAGGGCGATCTGGTTTAAAACCTGGCAACCCTAGACCTAACCAGGCTCTACTCTTGCAAACTGTCCTTTGTGTATGGACACACAGATATGCCAGCGGGAACAACATGAAGAATCTGGTCTTAGTTAAGTAGGAAGGATGCAGTCTAAAGCAGAAGTTGATTTTCTGTATGCCTTGCTTTATGTAAATACTTTTATATTCTCTCTCTCTAGAACAAGCAGTGGAAAGAGTTCTGTCATTAATGCAATGCTGTGGGATAAGGTCCTTCCTAGTGGGATTGGCCACACAACGAATTGCTTTCTCAGTGTAGAAGGAACAGATGGTGATAAGGCATATCTCATGACTGAAGGATCAGATGAAAAAAAGAGTGTCAAGGTATAGTTTTTCAATGGTTAAGAGGCAGCTGCTTGGAAACCTAGTATTAACAGACCATTTTGCTAGGTGCAATATTTAACAACATTTTTGAGTATGGGGAACATAAGCCAAATTTATTTTAGTATTTCAAAGCCATTCTTTCAGCACTGAAATAACTAAATAAAACTAAAAGGCCATAGCATTTTCTTAGGTCTTGCATGTAAATGGCTCATTTGTACCTTATTCTATCAAATGTTTTGTGTATGTAGGACTTCAACACTCTGGAAGGTTCATATTTGAAAAGTACACATGGACTACTTTCTTCCAAAAATTAAAACATTAAGAAGCTTGTTTTTCTGAATTTAACACTCATCTTGATTTGATAAGCCCTGTTGAAGCAGGAAGGAGAGCTAATTGTAACCTTACATGCTTCTTCGGGGATGTCCCTGTGGGTGCTCCACTATGGGTGCTGGGCTTGCCCCAGCGCCGCAGACGGAAGCTTGTGATGAGCAGTGTTCGGCCGGACCGCGCATGTGCTGTGGGCTTGCGGCTTTCGTGCTCTTTTCTGTTTCGTGTCCCCCGCCAGTTCCTCTTTACTGCCTCAGGATGCAGATGCTTGGAACCGTGCTCTTCATTTAGCGCGCTGAACTAGATTATTTCTAGTTCCCTCCTTGTACATACACCCTTACTTCGTTTTCCCTTCTTTTTTTCTCCTTTTTTCTTGGAAGAAAAAAAAAACCAAGAAGAATTGAACGGGAGTAAGAATAGAAACCGCTTACTATGCTTACCTCCCGCCTCTCAGCTGTTCTCCCTTTCGCTTCTTGTATCTAGTTGCGTTCCCTGAAGAAAAAGAAAGAAAGAAAAAAAAAAACAACAGATAAAGACAACAGAACAGAGACATTATCACCACGTTACCATTTACTCAGAGATAAAACTCGGCTGCAAATAACAACTGCCTCATGGCAACCGCCAAAATGTCAACTGCTGGTTTCAAAAAATGCAGCTCTTGCCAGGAGGCAATACCAGCCTCCGATAGCCACTCGGAATGCATCCATTGTCTGGGGGAATCTCGTGTACCCACCGCACCAGACTCACCTCCAGGGCTAGGAAAGAGAGCGAGGTGTCTGCAAATGCTTCTCTTCGATAAAGCTCTGCAGCCGCAACAAACTGATTCTGACCAGCAGCCCCTCAAGCGCCGGGCTTCCTCCCCGACTATAGAGCTTCAGAAGAAGCGTAGGGTCTCCCTGACAAGATCCCTACCAGCTGCCTTAAATGGCAGGGAAAGTCAGCCTGACAGACCTGGGACCTCTGGCACTGTGAAGCCACGTCCCCCTGCCTCAGCGGCTCCAAAGCCAAAGCGCCCGTGGGAGCCTTCTCATACTCCGGCTCCCCAGGCAGCATTGCCTCAGCCCCTTCCTCTACCTCGGTTGCACAGTGCCCTGCCGGCTCCGAGAACTGACCCGGAACTGACCATCATGGCACTGGCACCCACACTGCTCCCAAGCCATCGTGCGGTGCCGGACTACACGGCGCCGATCTGCCTCACTACCAGCACGGCGCCAGTTGCTGCTGCCCCTGAGCCGCCGGCACCGATCAACAGAGCGCCTGCTAGCTCTTCAGCGTACGCTGCCAGATCAGGAGCGCTGAGTCCTGCTCCTTTGATCTCCCTGTGCCGGAGCTGCTCTCGCTCCCGCCTCCTTTTGTCGGCACTGTCCTTGCCTCTCCCTGTGTCTCGTTCTCCGCGCCGCTATACGCTCTGCCATGGATCCCCCCATGCCTCCTCCAGGCTGCCTTCACCATTCCTGGCTGCTGCACCTTCCCATCGCAGACACCACTACAGGCAGCTCTCTGCGTCTCCTGCTTCTTCCAGGGCATCAGACATCCACTTCTGTTCGCCCTGCTCTCCCTACCGTTACCGATATTATGCCTGTTCCAACTATCACGACAACCGCTCCCCCCCGCCACTCTCGAGACTCCCACAGTGGCTACTCTTATCGATCACGTTCTGCCTACGATTAGCTATCATGCAGACGCTCTCCAACTCTGGCTCTCCTTACCCCTCCGCACCATTCAGCATCACCACCTCATCCTCCATCAGAGATGGATCACATCGCCTTCGGGGACCACCTACCGGAGACTTCCATCCCAGACTCGTCCCCACCAGAGGAGGCAATCACACTGGGCAACAGCTCTCCACCAGATGACCTCCATCAGTTCCAAGAGTTGTTTTAAGTGAGTAGCTATCACAAAAGAGATCCCGCTGCTGGAACTCAAGGACAAGCAACACAAGCTTTTCAGGAATCTCCAACTGTAGCATAGGTCATGCCTGGCCAGTCCTCCTGACGAATGCATCCTGGAACTGGCTGATGACGTGTGGCATGCCCCAGCGTCGGCACTTCCAACAAACAAACGGGCCGACAGTAAATATTTCGTACCACCGAAGGGCATGGAATTCCTCTTTGCCCATCCACAATCTAACTCGCTAGTAGTCGACGCAGCTCAACAGAGGGCTAGAGCCCCACACCTCAAATAACAGGGCTCAGATAAGGACGTAAAGAGACTTGACCGCCTGGGCAGGAAGGTCTACACTTCAGGTATGCTACTCCTCAGAATCGCCAATTACTCGGCACATCTCTCCAACCACACATTTGACACCTTTTCATGCCTCACCCCCCTCATGGATCATCTCCCTGATTCAAAGAAATCGATCCTGAGGTCAGTAATTCAAGAGGGCTACACATCAGTGGGAACGTCCCTCCAAATAGCCATGGACGTCACTGACACCGCTGCTCACTCTACTGCCACTGCCATTGCCATCGTTATGCGCAGAGCTTCTTTCCTTCAAGCAGTGGGAGTTCCGAAGGAACTTCAGGGCAAAGTCAAGGACTTACCCTTTGACAAGGATAAGCTCTTTGCAGAGACCACAGACTCAATCTTACACTCCTCTAAAGACTCCCAAACAACCTTGCAAGCTCTGGGGATGTACACTCCCCCCTTTAAGAGATGCTGGTACTCACCATACCAGCGCAGATATGACTACTCCTACATCAGTGGCAGCAGCAGCAGAGGCCCTTTGACAACCAACGCTCTTGCCAGAGGCCTCAGCGACACTAAAACCCAAACTGTAGGATGAACATGCCTCCCAACAACAAGCAACAGGTTTGATGCGTTGGTTGGGGGCGAGCAGACAGTCACAGGCAGCACCATGAATCGTATGACCCAGCTCTTTCACCACCAGTTGAGGCCCTTTCTATATCAATGGGCAAAAATCACTACGGACAGTTGGGGCCTCGAGATTTGTTCAATCTGGCTACCCTATCCATTTCATAGCCATCTCACTAATCACCCCTCCCACCTCGTCCCTCTTCAGGGACCCCTCTCACGAGGTCCTCCGAGTAGAAGTCGACTGCCTTTTCTCTCTAGGTGCCATAGAGCCAGTCTCAAAGGATTTCAGGAACAGGGGCTTTTACTCACATTCTTTCCTCACCCAGAAGAGGTCCAAAGGTTGGCGCCCCATCCTAGATCTCCGCTGTTTGAACAAATATCTCAAGAAACAGCAATTCAAAATGACGACTTTAGCTGCCGCCATCCCAGCGTTAGATCCACAGGACTGGTTTGCCGCCCTCGACCTCCAGGATATCTATTTCCACGTCCCTATCTATCCAGCTCACAGGAGGTTCTTACGCTTCGTCGTGGCAAAGGACCACTTCCAATACAAGGTCCTCCCCTTTGGGCTATCGTCAGCCCCCAGAGTGTTTTCACCTCACGAGGCAAGTCTTTCAATCGCTTGGACTCCTCTGCAATGAGCAAAAGTCCGTTTTGCACCCCACTCAGAACATCCAGTTCATTGGGGCCCACGTGGACTCACTTGCCGGCATAGCGTTCCTACTCTTACAGAGGTTTCAAGCCATCCACGACCTCATTCATACCATCACCATCAGCCCTACCATTCCACTTGTCACATGCCTCAGACTGATGGGCCATATGACTGCCGCAACATATGTGGTGAAATACGCCAGACTACATCTGCGCGCCCTTCAGTAATCGCTGACTATTGTATACGACCACACCAGATACGATCTCCACAAGCCGGTAACGCAGCCACCTGGTGTTTTCCAATCACTCCTATGGTAGACCAGCCACAGAAACCTGCTGTCAGGTATACCTTTCCGTTGGCAGGAGCCACTCCACCAAATCACAATGGATGCCTCCCTATTAGGCTGGGGGGCTCACATGGGCTCCCTCTCAGTCCAAGGCCAATGGTCCCCACAAGAAGCATGCCTACACATAAACCTTCTAGAGCTACGCGCCATTTTCAACGTGTGCAAATCCTTCCTCATCTACATTCAAAACACCACGGTGAGAATACTCAGACAACATCACAGCCTTGTAGTACGTGAATCGCCAGGGCGGCGCTCACTCTTATTCCCTATGCACAGAAGCCATCTGCTTTTGGAACTGGTGCATTCGCCACGGAATAACACCTACGGCATCCTACTTACATGGCACCACAAACGTGATGGCACAGTTCTTGAGCAGATACTTCCATGTGAAGCACGAATGGGAAATGCACGATGGCGTCCTATGCGAGATCTTCCAACGTTGGGTACTCCCCGAGGGGGCCTCTTTTTAACTGCCGCCAATACAAAATGCTGCAAGTACTGCACAAGGGCAGGCCTAGGCCACGCATCCCTGGGGGACGCCTTTCTTATGACATGATGCGGACCCCTTCTCTATGCATTCCCCCCATACCTCTGATCCCCAAAGTCCTCCAGATGCTGAAGGTGGACTGGGCAACGTTAATCCTCATAGCCCCGGACTTGCCTCGCCAGCACTGGTTTCCCTTCCTCCACCGTCTATCCGGGTGGACACCGATCCACCTCTCCACAATCTCCTCACACAAGACCGAGGATGCCTGAAACACCCCCAGATTCAAACCCTGAACCTAACAGCATGGTTCCTAACTGGCTGACTCCATTTGAATCCCTCTGCTCGGTTCCAGTCCAACATGTCCTAGTACACAGTAGACAAACCACGAGAAAAACTTACCTTCACAAGTGGCGCAGATTCTCCTCCTGGTGTACCTCGAACCGACACGTCCGATCCCCTCCATACTGGACTACACGTTGCACCTGAAGGCCAAAGGCCTCGCATTAGCCTCCATCAGGGTACACCTCGCAGCAATATCAGCATTCACATCACCGATAGATGGTGTTTCTGTCTTCGCCCGTCCTACTACTAAGAGATTTCTCAAGGGCCTTACCAACACGGCCCCACCGCATGACCCAGTCCCATTGGTGTGGAGCCTGGATGTAGTCCTTGACGCCCTAATGAGGCCGCCTTTCGAGCCTCTGGCGACTGTCTCCTTGCATTTCCTCGCTTTGAAAACAGTCTTCCTGCTTGCTATAACATCAGCACGCAGAGTGAGCGAGCTTTCTGCCATGATGGCCATGCCACCATATTCAATTTCTCGTAAAGATGGAATAGTCTTGAGACTACACCCAAGATTCATACCCAAAATCATCTCCCATTTCCATGTCAACCATGGAAACCAGTGATCCTGCCAACCTTTTTCCCCGAAGCCCCATGCCTCACCACGAGAAGCAGCTCTACACTCCTTGGACACCTGGAGGGCCTTAGCATTCTACATAGATCGCACTAAACCTTTCAGGCATACGGACCACTTTATTCGTCTCCTTGGCACAGAGATTGAAGGGTCAACGCCTATCTTCCCAGAGGATTTCCAATCTCGTAACCTCATGCATACCGCAATCTTACGCAGCGAAAAGCTTACCTCTCCCATCCCAACCACATGCCCACTCCACTAAGGCCATGGCCACATCTACAGCATTCCATAAAGGAGTTATCCCTTAAGGATATCTGCAAGATGGCAACCTGGTCCTCACATGAGACCTTCGCCAAACACTATTCTATTTCTTTAGGCTCCTGCTCAGATGGGGCAGTCGTGACTGTGGCGCTCTCCACAGCGGATAAATAGGGACTCCTTTGCCCTCCTTCCATTCTGGCGACCACTGCTGTGGAGCACCCGCTGGGACATCCCCAAAGAAGAAAGCAAAGTTCCTCACCTCCAGTGTGGTAACTGTCGTTCTTTGAGGTGGTATCCCCGCGGGTGCTCCACTACCTGCCCTCCTCCCCGCTCGAGCGCTCTCTCTCTCTCTCTCTCTCTCTCTCTCTCTCTCTCTCTCTGCTCTTATCTCTTACCTCTTACAGACTCCGAGGTGGTCTCGAGGAACTGGCGGGGGGCCGGACTGTACGAGACAGAAAAGAGCGCAAATGCCGCGAGCCCTCGGCACATGCGCTGTCCGGCCGAACACTGCTCATCACAAGCTTCCATCTGTGGCGCCAGGGCAAGCCCCGCATCCATAGTGGAGCACCCGCGGGGACACCACCTTGAAGAAGGACAGTTACTGCACCGGAGGTGAGTAACTTCGCTTTCGTTTCCCATGCTTCAGTTATTTACCAACTATTGTTTGTCTTTTTTAAATGTCTGTCTTGATTGTCACAAGGTCCATAAATGCCCATTTTAATCCATGACGTGTATTTAAAATAATTACTGTTTGGCTACAGTGAAAGGTAGCCTTCTGACCTCCTAGTATTTGAAGATTTAAATGCAACCCTCCAGCAATATAAGGAATACCACCACTTCAGAGAGAGTCCTGTCTTTTTTTTTCAGTGCAGAAAAATGACTATTCAGACACTAAGGCTATGTCTGGACTGCATTGCTTTTTCAGGATACCAGAAGTATCCCAGAAAAGCAATGCCCTGTCCAAGGAACACGTCCACTTTTTTGAAAAAAATTTCGAAAAAGCGGACGTGCTCTTTCACTTACCCTGTAAACCTCATTCTACGAGGAATAAGGAATGTGTAGAAAAAGCACTTTCTTTTGACATTTGGCGCTACGTAGATGCTCCAAATTTTGAAAGAGTTTCTTTCAAAAGTAAATCAGAAAAAGATATGTAATTTGCAGTGTAGACCTAGCCTAAGCGATGTGAAGGGCCCTGGATGGAAAGAAGGCATTTGAAAAAAGTGATTCATAATAAATTTTAATCTGCAAGTTGAAACCTTGAATTAGTGACCTATTCAAAAAATTCATGTCTGTAACTTTGTTTTAAGGCTCTTACATTGCAGATATAAGTGTCTTTCTTTTTCTGATGCTTCACAGACTGTTAATCAACTTGCCCACGCACTTCATATGGATAAAGACTTGGAAGCTGGCTGCCTTGTCCATGTCTTTTGGCCCAAAGCAAAGTGTGCTCTCCTGAGAGATGACTTGGTATTGGTGGACAGGTATAAGAGTTATTTTATTTTATTACCTGACCCACGCTCATTGTGTTACTAAAACCTAATTTAAATGTATTGTTAATTAAATGTTGTGGGTTTTAGACATGTCATAAATAAGTTAACAATTTTAAGTGTTTTATAATTTGTTCCTTGATGTAGACACTTCAGTCTGTCCTCATAAAAACACTGTAGGTATTTTGGCCAAGTCACAGTTGGAACAAGTGTTCCATCATTGTGCTCAGACGGGCTCTTACCAGTTGGCTGAGTTAAGTTTAGACTTTAAAAACAGACTAATGTGGTAATGAACTTAAGGTCATTCTATCAACTGTACCTCCTTCCCTGTTCTTCTGGAGCCTGATCATTCTGTGAATTCCTTATGTTACAATGTAAAATGTAGACAATCTGGGCTTTTGATGGAAAACATTTTTGATAAGGTGATGATGGCCTTCTAGAAATATCTAGTACAGAGGCTTTTAGAAGTCCCAGCTTATGGTTATGGAACTGTTAAACTCATATTATGTAGTTTATTTGCAGAATAAAATAATTCTTGACTGCATTGCTCTGATTTTCTACAAACATGTTGAATATGTAAAGATTCCTCTGCATATAAGCTGCATGGCTTTTTTTTCAGCTCTTAAGTAATATATAGAAACTACCCTGTGGTTTTGGTCTTATGAATCTTTTTGTAAAAGAGGCACCTTATTGCTCAGTAGCTGACAACTTGTCTCTACTTGAAATGCTACAGCAACATAGCTGCTGTGGCAGAAGGTTCTCGCATTGGTGTAGGTAATCCACTTTCTTCGAGTTGGTGGATAGGTCAATGGAAAAATTATTTTATTAACCTAACCTAACAGTGTCTACACTGGAGATTAGGTAATCTTAACTATATTGCTTAGATGTGGATTTTTCACACTCCGTTCCCTTGTGATGTAGAGATGGGTTGACCTAACTTTTTAGTACAGGCCAGGCTTGAGTGTATTCACAGTACACATTGCTCACTACCATGTTAAAAAGTCTACTACTACTTATAGTGCCTCTGATCTTGTATCCTTGAAATCAGTGGGAGCATTATTTTCTTCCTCGAATGTCGGATCTGTCTACCTGTAAGCAATACAAAGCCAACCCTGATGTCAAGAGTGGCTTCTGTTTTTCTTGCACATCCAAGGAACGGAATTGCAATTAAGTTGCAATTCACTAATGCCTCTGTAACCCCACTGAACACACTGGGAATACACAGTGGTCTTTGAGGATACAATCTGAAGACATTAGGGTTGCACAGTGGTAATTTAAGTTATGGGTAGCCTATCAAAATCCATGTTGCTAGTGAGAAAGTAAGAACTTAGGTTGTTTTTCAGATTCCTGTTTGTATTTGCAAAGCTTCTATTTGTATGAGGAGGGGGAAGCAAATTGTAACTAGAAATAATTATTGGCAGAAAACAAGTAAGACTTCACAATGTTTTTTCCAGTTATTTTGTACCATAGAACTGTACATTATGTATTCTTCCTTTTTAAGATAAGGCTAGAAATTGACTCTCACTTAACTTGTGTTTAATGGCCTGGGAATTTTTTAGTTTCGTTTGCCTTCTGGAGGAGAAGGAATACTTGTACACAAGACACTGTGACATTTGCAAGCTACAAAGAGATTCCACACTTGGAAGTGAAGCTGGTTGAAAAGGTGGGAAGATATTTGGCATAAAACAGGTCCCCTTTTTCATTGAAATCTGAAGTATTAAGATTTTTATTGTTGAAACTTTAGAAGTTTTCACCAGCTCCATAACTTTTTGAAAAATGTGATATATTTTTATACAGAGAAGATTTTTTTTAAAAAAATTAGTTATCAATTTTAAAGGAATTTTAAAAAATAATTAAATATGGGAGATTTTTACCAGCTTTACTTGCAAGCCATGCTGGCGGAGTTTGTAGACTGCTCAATACTGAATCCTACACATACATACAATTCCTCATCCCTCCCTGGATCATTTGTATCAGGTCAAGTTAAAGCCTCTGCAGAGCCCCTTTCTGTGTGCAAAAGCTGCTTCTAATAATTAAATAATGAAGGTCCTACTTGAATCGCAGGATGATTGTCTAAAAATTTCAGTTGAATTGCAGACAAGCCATGGAAAATCAGGTAAAAGTAATATTGGACCTTATTTGTGGTGGTCAAGTCCATTATTACTATTCTGCAGTTTTCCACAAGGCTTGGAGCAGGGACTTCCATTATAAAAACTGTAGTGGAAGTCTAATATTGCGGGATCTGCAGTATCACAGGTTAAGTGCTTATAAATAATTACTTTACAGTAAATGAGAAACTTTCCATTTCTCTTGGCCAGTATCGTTAGTAATTCTGATAAACCAAAAAGCAATGCTCAGAAAATGTTCAGAAAATAAGATTGACCTACTTTTTAATTTTCCTCCATCAAATACAATGTTTTACTTAGTTTTACACTTACAAGATAAATACAGCCCTACCATTGAGATAATACCTCTGTAATTTCAAGCAGATGGGCTTAATTTTGACTGGAATGTGGTAGTAAAAATTAAATTTACAATGGCTGCTTTCAATCTTAACTGCAGAGAGAGACTATCTTCCAAATGTATCTCCATAATCATGGCAGAGTACATTTTCTTAGGAACTAGAAATGCTAGTGACAGGATGTTTTATGTTCTGCAATTTATATAGATGACTTTTTAAAATTTGTAACTGAGGTTAATACTAATTAAAAAAAAAGCTTTTTGACAACTCTGTTCACAAGACTGTATCAATATTCTCTAATCAGAGTACTTCAGCTTGCTCTTTGAGGGTTCATAAGGATGAAAGAATAATTGTTGCTTCTAGCACATTCAGCACTTAGCTTTACTGCTGAGACTGCCAACAGTATTTCATTCGTGCTGGTGGTTTTTATGATGTGGACGTCTTTCCCTTATAAACTGAGTAGACACAACCAACTGGTTTTACATAAGCTGCCAGATGATAGTTGCTTTCTGTCATGACCATCTTGTGCTGCATTTCATCAGTGCTTTACATCCCACTATCAAGCCCCAGAGCTATCCAGTCCTACTCTTCATTTTTAGAAACGGAACAATTTTATTTTTCTTGATGTTCATAAATGTCTTTCTCCAACAGCCCTGGCACAGATGTCACTACAGAACTAGACACCTGGATTGACAAATTCTGTTTAGATGCCGATGTCTTTGTTTTGGTTGCTAATTCAGAATCAACTCTCATGAATACGGTAGGACATTCTCATAGTTAAAATTGTTAGGCCTTTGCTTAAATGCATAAGAATATCCAGTAAGATCATTTCCTGCAGTCCATTGATATGTGGGAGCTTCTGCTTTCCTCCTAGAATTTGTATGGTGAATTTTCCATGATTACTGGGAAGGAGGGGTCAAGGTACAGTGTGGTATAATCGTTAAAGCAGCAGAATCCTGTTCTCAGCTTTATTACTAAATTTGCTTTAGGCAAAGTCATTACTGCTTCCATTTCTCCAATCTATCCAATGGCAGTAATACTTTCCCAGCTTTATAGGAGATTCAAGATCTTCTGATGAAAAGACTAGCAATAAGAGTATTTATCCAAGAAACAGACTGCATTAAAGTACTTTCTACATAGAACTGAAAGATATACAAGGTGGTAATATTTAAGGACAGAAGGGATAACAATCGGTGGAGTAAATCGGTACCTCTGTACAGCTCTTCTGTATATTTCTTGTGCCAGACAGGGGGTACACTTCCCTCTTAATACATGTCATCGGTTTATCCTGTCTTACTTTCTTAGCACTGTTCTTCAGAAATATTTAGGGATGTTAATAGATAACCTTAATGGGTGATACTTACCTGGTTATGGTTAACCAGTTCCTCGGGAGCATTCTTCCTGGGCTTCCTGCCCCATTCCCGGGGAGGAGCTTTCGCTGCTGGGGAGGCTTCGCTTTTGGGCTCTGCAGTATAAAGCTAAACATGGGTAACCGTGTAAACACTTAGATTTGCAGCAATTACATGGTTATCCTCATTACATGATTTTTTTTAACATCCCTAGTAGCAGGGGATTGCAAGATGTTTGCAGGCACGTGCACATATTATTCAGTTTCCCATGGAAAATTCAGTAGCTATTTAGGAGTCTCTACTCCCTTTTTCAGTGGTTCAGGTCTTTCCCACTGAACAGAATACTGCTTACTTGAATTTTAATTTAAAATTATTTTACTGGAGAGTATAGTTTGAAATGAATGGTGATTCTGGATGTAGCATCCAAATACTGCTGGATGTTCAAGAATAAAAGTACAGTTCAAATAAGGGAGACATTGCTTTTCTTAAATTATAAAGTATTTTTACCTTATGTCTGTTTTTTTGAATTAGTGCCACTCTTTATAGCCTGTGAAACTCTTGGTTTAGAGTTTATTTAAACAAAATATAATTCATGATCTTTGGATTAATATAAAATGGTAAATTTAAAAAAATGGAAAACATAAGTATTTTTTTTACAACTGTTATTTTCTTAGTTTAGCTTACACATTGTTAATCCAGAATCTGTTATCTTCAAAGGATGGCATTATTCTTTTTTTTTCTTTTCAATTCTTAGGAAAAACACTTTTTTCACAAAGTAAATGAACGACTTTCCAAGCCAAACATTTTCATCCTGAATAATCGCTGGGATGCCTCTGCATCTGAGCCTGAATATATGGAAGATGTGAGTTGCTCTTTCATCTTTGGTAATAACAAATGTCAGATAACCATAGCAGAAACAATGGCTTGTTTAAACTGGAGGAGGAAATATTGCCAAGCATGTAAATGTGTGCTTGTGTGTCTAGATACTGTGGTAACGAACACATTATAATGTGTAAAATAAATTGGAGAATGGAGTGTGTTCAGAGTTGTAAAAAAAACAAGACAATATGGAGAATGTGATCAAGAATGCTAAAGCATTTTACACTGAATTAATGTTTTAATTTGGTAATTACATTTGAAGCAGGTAGCGATTGAAGGTTTTTTTGCTTTGTTTTTTAAACCTTCATTTTCAAGTGTAACTTACATGCAGTATATCCTACTGTTTGGGATACAAAAGCAATTATTTCAGTACCTCTGAGTGCATCAGCTTTTGACTGAGTACTCAAATTCTTGCTGGCAAGTGGGGAAATTCAAAATGCTCAATTAGGAACAACTGCTGCCTCTCTAAATAGCTTCTTATATTTGAGGGCTCTTCAAAGCTTTGGGGTCAGTGGGATTTATTTATTGCTCTAAGGTTTTTGATTTCTTTTTCTCAGAAATGTTTATTTTTAGTTTGACTGGCTTTTTACATTGCTTTTCTGTCCATCTCATTTACAGGTGCGCAGGCAGCACATGGAGCGTTGTCTGACCTTCCTTGTTGACGAGCTCAAAGTCGTTGATCCCTCAGAAGCACAGAACCGCATTTTTTTTGTTTCGGCCAAGGAAGTTCTTAGTGCTAGAAAGCAGAAGGCCCAAGGGATGCCAGAGAGTGGTATCTATTGAACTCTGCTTTCCTGCATGTGTATATTAAATGTCTGAGTTTAGTTCAGGAGTTTAAAATACAGTAACTTACTGTAAACTTTTATCATCTACCTTAATCTTTGCAGGTGGTGCACTTGCTGAAGGATTTCAGACACGATTTCAGGAATTTCAGACTTTTGAGCAGATATTTGAGGTAAATATCATGGACTTTTTAAACGATGTTTTCAGAGCTTTGTGGTGCTAAAATGATTTTGCTCCTTTCTTGGCTTCGTTTCATTGCCTATCATAAACTATTATTCTATGTGCAGATTTATGTGCTACCTTGGGATGATCCCAGTCATCTTTGCTCTTTAGTAGTATGTACTTGCTTGAAAAGGTACCATTTTTTGTCACTCTTCCTCAATCTGCTCTTTTTGGTTTTATACAAGAAGTTAACACCAGTACAAACAGTAATGTGTAAAGACACCAATAGGTGTTACTCATCAATTATGGTACCAAAATATTACCTGGGAAAACATGCAAACAGTAGTTAAGCTTCCAATATTTTAGAGCCCACTATTCCCTATTTTCTGATTTTTGTCTTCAAGCTTAACATTCCAGATTTAGTCTCTTGTGACTGCAGACCTTTTTCCATTTAAAGTAGGGTGGTGTATGGAAAGGAAGTTGTTCTGAATCTAGTGACTGACCTCTATGAAGTTTTGAGCTCTTGGTTGTACATAGTTATTGTAAGACTTCTTGCTGTTTGTATCAGAAATAATTTAGTGACTGCAGCATTGGACACTTAATCACATCCTTAAAGCTGGGCACTGGAATTGCAACACCTACCTACAACGCAACACTGAAACAATTAGCAGTAGCAATATTTTTTGTGTACTTGCTGCTCCCACAGGGAAAAAAAACATCCATTCACCTCTATCCATATCTAAGGTTGATGCTTTCTTCAGAAGCAGGTTTCCAGATTAGATGGACCATTTGCTGGTTCCAATATGACAATAGCTATCTAGTCTACTGAACTCCAGTAGTTTTCTTTGCTTTTGAAAAAAGCATGCTGGAAAAAATAAATTCCATCTTAGGCCCGCATTATTTAAGCATTATAGTGTAATCTTTTACATCCATTGCTCAAACCTCTTCTACGTGAGCGAAGGGATCGAGTAACTCCTAGCAGTAGTAGATTATCATCCGCTCTGTGGACCAGAATCTAGATGGGAATGTTACAGTTTGCCATTGTGTTTCATAGATATTTTTTGATAAATAATGAAATGAGAATCTTGTGTTCCATTCCAGGCTTTTAAAATTACATTCTTTAGTGACAACAGGCTTTTCTGTATCATCCCTTCTGTCTTTTCCACATGGCTTTTCCTTGTTTCCGTCCTATTCTCCTCATGTTGTCACCCCAGTCTCCACACCTCAAGTCTTTTCATCCAGTCTCCTTGCCCAATCAGTTCTAGTCTCCTGTTCTGAATTCTCAATCCCAGTCACTCATTAGCTCCCAGGCATTCCTCCTTATGCCCCCATTCCCATGGTTTGTCATCTGCTTACATCTCTTCCCCTGTCTTCCAGGCATTCTGCCCACATATCCTGTCCCCATTGATTCTCAGGCTCTTTGTTCCAGTTTCTTTACTCAGCCAGTTCAGTTCTTCCATCTCCCAGGCTCCTTGTCTCACTCGACTCCCTAACCCCAGATCCAGCTTTTATCTGTTGTTCATTCTGATGAAGCTGCTTTCTTCTCCTAGACCAGACCCTCTGACAGGAGATCCTGACTGGTTTGGCTGGGAAGCTGTCAAGTGCTGGCACATCAACTGCCCCTCCCCCACTGCTGTCCTTGTCCTGCACTCTGCCTTGGAGTTGCTTCCTGGGAGCCTGCTGCTTGTTATGTAGGGTGGCAGAGATTGAAGAGGTTGATTCTGAGATCTCAGGGTGTTTCCCTCCCCCACAGAGTGAGCAGGATGGGGCCTTGGGAAAGAAGAGGAGGTGGGGCAAGGGTATTTTGGTTTGATGTAGATCTTGGATTGACTTAAATTCAAAAATATGTTTAAAAAGGATGGAGACAACTGGTTCGGGGGCTGTATTTAGCCCTACTATAGGATCTGATGGCTTCTTTGAATGTTCATAATTGTTTGTCCTCCTTTGTCTGTAACTCCGTCACCCTAATATTGTGTCCTTATTCTATAGGTAGCTTTATTTATTCTCTCAAGATTACTAGCATAAATGTAAGTGCCTATGTTTTCAATTTCAGCTGATTTTTACTGAAAATCCTAGGTTTTACAAAGTGTTTTTCTCCTGATTTTTCACCTTAATTTTTATCATTAAATACATACAAATTAATTTGTTTTATTAGGAAAAATAATATATTGTGAGACGAATTATGGTAATACTTTAGTTTGTTTCTGTGCAAAGCTACCTTTTGAAGTAAGGATATGTATTAGTCTAGAAGATAGTCACACATGCAAGCTCTGAAGTGTGCATACATCTAAACCAACTGATGAATTTCATGTCCTCAAGGTACACATTTCTAGCTGTTGGCAAATAACAGTTCAAAGATCGGACACTAACATGGAGAAAAAAAAACAAAAATATGTATCAGAATAAGTTTCAGAACTCAAGAAATATTCAAAATTTTTAAAACCAGGAGAAAGTGATGAAACTGAGGATATATGCTGAAAATAATGTGGCCCAATTATTACATGTAAATATAGGCTAATAGTTCTTAATGTACAACAGTAAACTGGTGATTCAAATGGAAAAATTATGCAGAGGGATGAGAGAGATATTGTTAAACTCAGGTGGCATTGTGTTTCAAGTTCTGTTTTAGTTCTGCAGTAAACCACATTGAATTCCATTTATCAAAGCACTAATCTATTAAACATTTTTTCTCCCCCTGTCCTTCAGTCCAACCAAAATAAACCATGATACTTGCCCAGAAAAATTAATAGTTTTTTTTCCCACCACTTTTCACCTTTTTGGGTTGTACTAATGAACATCAATAAATACATGGAAAAAAATTAAATAAAAACAGAAAATGAATGGCCCTGCCAATCCGTTACCAGAGCAATCCTGTGGTTAAACCTCAGTATTTCTACCCTAAATACCCAAATGGGCATCCACTGACAACTTGCAGTTTTCTGTTAGCATTTTGTTAAGAATTTCAGCAGAAGTGTTTATTGCAAAAATTCTATTGTATGTCATCTTGTGATTAGGGACTCGGTTGGTCAACTTACCAATTCTAAAAATTAATAAGCTAAATGTTTAAGCTAATGTTTTACAGGTTTGGGTCTGTAGGCTTCTTGCACTACTGTCTTATTACAGTACCTGTATTTTAGCCTTATACTACAAAGCTGTCTTTAAAACTGTATTTTAAGTGTAAGGTTGCACACTGTCTCAGATATATGTGCGCACACAAGAGATTTGTCATTTTTGTGTGTGTGTGTATATATAAGTGGAAAAACTAGTTGATATGGTCTTTAATCCATGTAGCCTTCAATGGTTTTTTTGGGGGGTGGGGCAGGGGTAGGATTGGGAATTGTGTGTTTTCTCTCGAAGAATGTGGAAAAGTTTTTCTTCCTGGGATTTTTATAATGGGTTACTTGGGAATTGTATTTTTGACATGACAGAGCATCAGCACTCACTGAGCTGTTTGAAAAAACACTCAGTGGGAAATGCGCTTCTAGGTCACTGTTTCCCATGCTGCTTCATGAAGTAGGTAGGGCAGAGGGAGTTTATAATGCAAACACTGTCACATCCTTAATGAATGCCTTTATTGCAGAGTGCCTCTCTGATGCTATGTATGTCAAATGTATTGAGCTGTTTAAGGCAAAATAACCAAGGAAAATTTGAAGTGCAGTTCAGAATTATATTAGTGAAATATTGCAGCTTTTATCTTACTTTTGATAACTGCATTTGTTCATAAACTTTAAAAGCAAACTTATTCCTCTTTCTTGTCTTTCCAGCCATATAATTAATACTTGTGTTTTTCCTAGTGCTTTAACTGTGGATTTTCTGATTGTGTAGTGAACGACTATAATCCCTTTATCAACTACCTACTAATATTAGAAAGATTCTTGTCTTTCCTACATGTCTGTCTAGCTCTAACAATGTGCTGATAACTATGAAACACTGGCTTTTCGTTGCTGATTTCTAGATCTGCTTCATCGAGGAACAAAACCTTTTACCCATTCTGATTTCTTTTCATTTGGTGTTCTGTTTACATCTTGTCACAAACTATTATTAAGGGGTAGGTAAAGGCAACATTTTCAAAGTCGTACATGGCAATTAAACATCCAACTACTATTGAAAGTCAATAGGAATGAAGCACTTAACTGCATTTGTACCTTTTAAAAATGTCCTCTATTAGCTATTTCCAATAAAAGGAAACTATATGTTTTAACTATAATTATAATATTTCTCAGTAGGATACTGATAGTGTTTGCTCAGTCTGAAAATTAAAACCAGTTAATTAAGTGGCGGGTTTGCACGTATGAAATGGCTTAATTTCAAAGTATTACTTAGTTATGGCCATAAATATAGTTAGCCAAAACTCGTTTATCTGTATCTTCTTTTAGTTTCAGTAAAATCTATTTTGAATAGAGCCAAATGTAGAGTCAAATATCTATGAGCAAGGCTGTAGGCCTTATGTGTAGAATGGTGGGGATTACCGTATTTTCCGGCGTATAGGGCGACTGGGTGTATAAGACGACCCCCTATCTTTTTAATTAAAAGATAGGGTTTCATCTTATACCCCAGCGCCCCTCCGCCTCCTTTGCTCCCGGTGTCCCTGGTCTGCTGGAGATGGTCCCCAGCAGACCAGAGGCACCGGGAGCGCTGTAGGCCTTATGTGTAGAATGGTGGGGATTACCGTATTTTCCGGCGTATAGGGCGACTGGGTGTATAAGACGACCCCCTATCTTTTTAATTAAAAGATAGGGTTTCATCTTATACCCCAGCGCCCCTCCGCCTCCTTTGCTCCCGGTGTCCCTGGTCTGCTGGAGATGGTCCCCAGCAGACCAGAGGCACCGGGAGC